GGGAAGAAGGGCGGCAGAGCCATGGCCACCACCGGAGGGTTCTGAGAAGTGACAGGAATCTGATGGTCTCCCGAGAAAGTGTCTTCCGGGAGGAAGTGACGTATGCCACGCGCGACGCCGGTGTGACCCGCCCGGCGCGTGGGTGGGCGTTCATTTAATCCTTCAATTAATACTGTTCCTTTTTTTAAAAAAAATACTGTTCTTTTTTTTGTTATTCGTTTTTTCTTCTTTTTTTAATTCTCACCCGTTTTTCCTTTGATTTTTAAGGAGAGGGAAAAAGAGAGAGAAGCATCGATGTGGGAGAAACACATCCATCGGTTGCCTCCTGCACGAGCCCCGCCCGGGGCAAACCGGCTCAGGCATGTTCTTAATGATCATTTTAGGTGTGAAGCCAGCTGCTTTGCAGACAGCGAGACTAACGGACACAGATCCTCTCCTGTGGAACTACCTGTCGAGTAAAGAAAACACGTTAATCAAGTAATGACGCAAGCAATTGTGAAAGTGCCGCGGTGAATATACGTACTACCGAAGAGGAGAGCACAGAGCAAGAAGAGCTTATAGGACAATTTGACTTAGAAAGGTTGGGGAAAGGTTGTCCCAAGGACTTTAGGCTTCGTTTAAGGTCTGAAGGATAAGTAGGAGTTAAATAGAAGAGAGGGCAACAGGGTTCAGATAAGGACAGCATTTGCAAAATACCCCTAGTTGGTAGGAGTAGGCTTAGCGGGGGAACTGAAAGAATGTCAGAGCGGATGGAGCACAGAAAGCCTGAAGGGAGCCTGGTGATCCTGGCGTGGACAGAGATATAGCGTCCAGGATCTCATATTTTAAGAACAATGGGAAACTACTGGGGGATTTTAAGCTACATGTTGTTGTTTTTTAAGTTAAACTCTATTTTGAGATCGGAACAATGGGAAACTACTGGGGGATTTTAAGCTACATGATTGTTGTTGTTTTTTAAGTTAAACTCTATTTTGAGATCATAAGAAATATGCAGTTGTGAGAAAAATACAGGGAGATCCTGTGTACTCTTAACTCAGTTTCTCCACATAGTAATATCTTGCAAAGCTGTAGTACAATATCACAACCAGGATGTTGGCATTGATAGTCAAGATACAGAACATTTATTTCCATCATTTCCAGGATCCCTCATTTGCCCTTTTATAGTCACACCCACTTCCCTTTAACCGCAACTGCTAACCCGGTCTCCATTTCTATAACTTCTGTCCTTTCAAGAATATTATATAAATGCAATCATATAGTGCTAACCCGGTCTCCATTTCTATAACTTCTGTCCTTTCAAGAATATCATATAAATGCAATCATATAGAACATAACCTTTGGGACTCCCTGTTTCCACTCAGTATAATCCTTTGGAGATTCATCCAGGTTGTTGTATTGATAGCGTTCCCTTTTATTGCAATAAAAGTGTGCAAAAAGAGAGCGGGTAAAGTTAAACCACACTTGGTTTAATCATTCACTTGTTGGATATTTCCACTTTGAGGCTATCATGAATAAAGCTGCTATAAAATTTGTATGCAGGTTTTTCTGTGACCATAAACCTTCATTGCATTGGAATAAATGCCCAGAGTGCAACTGCTGAGTCATATAGCAGTTGTATGTTTAGTGTTTTTTTAAAAATATATTTTTACTGATGGGAGAGGGTTAGAAACATGGATGAGAATCATTGATTGGCTGCCCCCTACTGGGGATCGAGCCTGCCACTCGGGCATATGCCCTGACTGGGAATCAAACCAGTGATCTCTTGGTGCATGGGTCAACACTCAACCACTGACCCACACCAGCTGGGCAGAACCTTACTTTTTAAAGCAAAAGTAATGGATGCCCTATTGGGTAAGAGCCCAGCTCTGTCCCATGTAAAGAACCAATCAAAGCCTGACCCCACTTCCCAAAAGACCTCTCATATTTCTCAGAAACTCTTTGTAATACTCTACATATTTACTTGTATCTTATGTATTAAGTAACTTGTAATACTCTGCATAACATTTAAAGGCTTATCTTAAAGTGTATTAGGTAAGACATGACTCTAACTTTATATAGGGTATCCCCCAAATGTATACATTTTAACAGCTAATAGCTCAATTTTTTAAATGAAATGTATTTTAATGAACACTGCCTTTATAATTATTCTAAGTGTGTATATACATTTTTGACACCCTATATTTTCTAGATCAGTGGTTCTCAACCTTCCTAATGCCGTGACCCTTTAATACAGTTCCTCATGTTGTGGTGACCCCCAATTTCATTGTTACATATTGAACATAATTAAAGCATAGTGATTAATCACAAAAACAATATGTAATTATATATGT